GCTTTGCACTCAGTCTTGACTTGTATCGGTTGAGTGAAGATTGTTCTACTAAAGATGAAGTTCGTTCTTGTCTTCGTTACCCTCGCCTGTGTGAACTTTTGTTTCTGCCGTGGTGGAATTGACGTTGCAAACCAAGTAAGATAGTTGGTTTTCATACTAGAGTAATTAACTTATCCTATAAAAATGAAAGCATTGCTTTATTGTTTTGCCTGACAGTTTGGGCTAACCAAAATAGCTTAAAAGAAAGGAAAACGCTTTAAATGCACAAGTTGTTCACTCTCCACGTTGAAAAAAAGAGATTTGCTTCAGCCATTTATCACAGCGAATATCTTCCTGCTCAGAATTTCTCATCCAATTTTGTTTCTTTTACAGAAGGTATGCACAACGCCAAGCAATCCAATCAACATCAACATCCACGCCGCCAAAGACAGAGACGGTGTTAAGGTACGAGAATAAGACAATTTTATCTTCTCAGTATTCGTTGCACGAGCATATGGAGTATTAAGCAGCGTGGATGAATTACACGAGAAATTGAATGTAGTTAATTTGAAGTTGGTGTAGTTGGTAATGCTGGTGTAGTTGGTAATGTTGGTGTAGTTAGTTTAGTTGGTATTGTTCGGATGTAGTTGGTGTAGCTGGTGTAGTTGACATAGTTGATGCAGTTGGTTTAGTTGGTGTAACTGGGGTATATCAGTTGACTTTGACTTATTTTCGTTTCTAAGGATTTCTGATGACTTCGTTCGGATCACACGTTAAGTGTTTTGAGTCAGTGGCTCTTTCTTAACTGTTATTTAGGCTGAAAAGGGCGAGAAAGGTGACTCAGGAACGAAAGGTGATAAGGGAGATGCTGGGACAACTTCTTGCAGCTGTCCTTTGCAGGTAAGAACCTGTCATTTACTACAATGGGAGTAGATTTTTTGTTGGTTCTTACCACTTCTTCCATCCATCCACGTCAAACTTTTCAATCTTTCTTCACTGAAATTGTACAAACAATACCACAATTTTTTCTCTTGAAGCTTTTGTTGTTGTTGTTGTTGTTCTTTTTTTTTTCAGTTTTTGAGAAGCACAGTTAAAAAAAAATGATGAAAGCTCTTGCAAAGCAGTATTATACTAAGTTGATTATTATTTGCAATTGGTTGTTCAGAAATGCATTGTAATTTACCGATGCCCTTTATCGTCTCTTTGAAAAGGATCCAAAGAAACCTTCCGCTCACCTTGAAGGTGCTAACCGGGGAGATGTCAGTTATAAAGTAAATGAAGGTAAAAGTTGATGGCCGGAACGTTTTTGTAGTGGTGTTATGGGTGCATGCAAGAAAGCAAAGAGACGAATATCATAGGATAAGGAATTAAAAGAAAGGCTAAAACGCCATCGGATAGAAAACTGCAACGCGGGCATACTTCTGTTAGACTGAGTCCTTTTTTGTGTCCATCCATTTTAAGGGAAACTCAATTGAATTCAGTGAATTTAATCTTTATCTATTACTCTTTCTTTCTCCCTATCAATTTCTTTAGTGGGCTATTGCTCCATCCCTTTATCCTCCTTCACAGAAACCTTCAATTACACACACATTCTTGAAATATATGGTACCTTTCATTGTAAGCATTTGACACCCTTTTATATTTTTTAAGGCCTTTAGGGAGATAATGCTATAACGTGGGACAACATGGTTTTCAGGAGGAGTAAAGCTTTTTGTTAGGAAAAGCATGTACTAACGACCATCTACTTCATCTAGTTAAATAAATGCATAACGATTACCAATCGCTTTCTTTCTAAAGTTTTTTGATAAGGAAGTTTGACCTTTTGATAAGTGATATTTGTAACTGGTAACTGGTGGTGTAGAGCTGCACGCTTCAAATCTCGGGTAATAGCTTTCATTTACATAAAAGAAGCATGTGTAATTTTACCAGTGGTAGACGACAAGGGTTAAGAACAGAGCTGCAGACTAAACATCATTCATGTTATGTCTTGTAGTCATAAAAGACTGGACTTTGAAGGCTCCGTACAGCCATCTTGCAGGCGGTATGAAGTACCATGACGGTAAATTGACGGTGCCCATCTCCGGACGTTACTACATCTACGAACAAATTTACTGTCGCGGGTATAAGGGGAAACCCGTAAGAATTTCCATCCTTGTTAACAACAAAGTCGTCGCTATGGTTCATCCACCACACACGTTACGAAATGCAGAATTCACGCATTCCACAGGCGGGGTGTTTAACCTAAAAGCTGGTGACGTCATTACGGTGGCGCCCACACATTGGGCTGGGATAGCCTACATGCATACGTANGCGGGTATAAGGGGAAACCCGTAAGAATTTCCATCCTTGTTAACAACAAAGTCGTCGCTATGGTTCATCCACCACACACGTTACGAAATGCAGAATTCACGCATTCCACAGGCGGGGTGTTTAACCTAAAAGCTGGTGACGTCATTACGGTGGCGCCCACACATTGGGCTGGGATAGCCTACATGCATACGTACCACAGTTTCTTTGGCGCATTCTTGATCTGAACCGAGCCATGTTAAGGTTTCGTCCTGGATACCTCCTTTGCAAAAAAATAGTGATTAGTGGGAGTTTGCTCCATTGCTATTATACCAGTATTTGGATCGGTTCGTTGAATGATTTCTGGTTGTTCTCTAAGGGTGTAAATTTATGGTTTAAAGAAAAATAAAGGATTACAAAAGACGGACAATCAATTTATTTTTTTTCCATTATATACCGAGCATCAATTTAGAGAGCGATCTATAGTTAACCCTCTCCACAATACTCTCTATTTTTTCTTTCCTCGTAATTTACCCGTCAATGTCCCTGTCGTCCAACCAAAAACATGGTCTACTAACCACGAAAACTAACCTGTGAGAGCTAGAGCAAAGCATGCCTGCAGAATTCCAAGCGCCAGACCACGATTAGCCTACTAAAAGAGGATTGGAGCAAAACTGAGAGCGATTTGATATAAATTCCTGCATGTCGCTTCCCTGTC